AAACTTAAGCAAAACAGAGCAGCATATAGTGATAAAATAATAGTGCAAGTGCTTTTGACGACCACACTGTTAGAATCACACAGTCATGGAAAAAGGGGTTACTCCTATCAAATTAACGAAGAAAGACCACTTGACTAACTTCGATAACTGGAGAGACATGACACTATTAAAAATAATATACATACAAAGTGTTGGTAACAATTGAAGTCTTGCGGGCGCATCGGAGCTGTGTCAATCCAGAAAATACACTTTAAATCATAGTTGAGCACTCAATAGAGCACAGATCACCGGTTTATATGCCCTTCATTTACTTTCGAAAAGCTTTCGACGAGGTCAAGCGTGATGTAATAGGGAAGGCGCTAAGGGATAAGGGAACCCCTGAAAAAAATAACCAAAATAACTTGAGTAAACCAGGGCTTTCCACTTTCGTTGCTGTTTTTCATAATCTTGTTAGACAAAGTACTATAACTCGCCTGCTCGCGGAGAAGCGGCATGATCTGGAGTTTCCCCCGACGATTAGAAGACCCCGATTATGCAGACGACATCTACCTTCTCTAAAAACATCAAAAGATATCGGTCATAGGCTACAAGTCTTTATCAACAGATGCCCCAAAATTATATAACGAATATTCTGACCGAACAGATTCATAGTATAATGAGGAATTCTGGATTTCAGAATCTAGATAACAACAAACCAACCTGCCAGCAAGCAAATACGAAGAAAAAAAGAGGGTGGGTCGGAGACATTCTAAGGAAACTTTAGAAGAATGCCAGAATTAGCTTAGATTGAAATTTATAAGGATCGAGAAAGTCTGGTCGTCCCCGAATTACTTGGCACAGATCAGTTTGACATGGAATCAAGTTAAGAAAGTATCCAACAATACAATCAGATGAAAATGTCAAATCAAAACCCTATGATTTTAAGGGGAGTAGCGAAAAAAAAAATTTAAAAATTCGAAATGAATACAAGTTTTTAACTATAACTAAAGTTTTTTATTTAAGAACTCATTATTAATAACAAATTTGGTTGGATTGAGTTTCAAGACACTATTTTTAGCGAAAATAGTGTCTTTTTTGTTGTAGCCAATGCACTTCTGTACATCGATTTCGGGTAGATAAATTTAATGAAATTGAGTCTTAGAAATCAAACTTTTATGGGCGTAACACAATAAGCAACAGGATGTCAACGAAGAATCAATTTCACATATGCAGAGGTTTTATAGTAGTCATTTGCAACATTGTAAGTGTACTCGTATGTAAATATCATTTATATCAATCGGTTATGTGCTCCATTTACTTGGTTTTATATTATGAAATCAATACTGAGAAAGAAAATACTCACTCAATAATATTTAATTACGGAAATAATATTTTGAAACCATGTTTTCTCATATGAAATTGTAAGAACTTCTAGATTAAAAGTAAAAGACACCAACAAAGAACTTTATATTCTGTTATTATACGAGAAATAATTTTTCTTTAATACACCCCTTCGTCAACCAGAAATAATTTTCACAGTATTTCAAACCATTTTCAAGGAATTTTCATAAATTTTTGAATAACAAGGTAAAATTGTCAGTAAAGTAAATTCGACAACAATGCTAGTTTAAATTAAAAGGGAGAATATTTTTATTAGACAACAAAATTGTGTAAATCAAAAATATTCAGGATTAAGGATCACAAATTTTCAAAACTTTTTAATTAAATAACTGGAAAATATTAAATTGTCAACCATTTGACATTGAAAAATTTATGCAATTTCATTATTAATATAGAACTGCAGTAAAATTATGTAAATTATCATTATTTAAAGGTTGAAAACCTAAGGTAGAGAGAGAAAGTTTAATAAAAATTAATTCAAAATGCTCTTTAAAAATGAGCCGCAAACTGTCACGTATATTACTATCTCTATGATGACATGACAGTTTCGAAATTATGTCATACGTATTATTATCATATTTTATTATTTTAGATCAATCAAATCATTATTAAAACAAATGTAATACTCGTATACATACATACATATTTAGAATATATGTTATGTCTCCCATTAAAGTAAATCCGCAAGGACAATGTAAAATTTTCATTTTAAATTTTCATTAGAATTCCACATAAAAAATTTCTGATTATTGTTCATACACACGATTATGATAAATACAAAACAAATATGTACCCAGAGTATATTTATAAGAAAATTTACATAACGAATTTCATTTATTATTTCGTTTATTTTATCACTAATTGACAAAAAATTTGATTTGCATTGGATCGTCAAATGTTTATTTTATAAAAGTACATACAAATACATACAAACATCTTATATAATTGCGGGCCTATTATGTCAAGTATTGTGTATATTGTGTTGGTTTGCCAATTCATAAATTATTGTAAAATAATAAAGCCAAAAACAGTGAGAGTGAGTAGTGAGAGTGAGTGGGTGAGTGTATTTGTGTAAATTTCAGACATTACCACGAGGAAATATTTTTATAATAATGATGTTTACTGTTTTGGGCTGTTTTTTTTTGTTTTTATTTAATTCATGTGAAACAAGAACGCATAAAAATTGTCAATATTATTTTTGACTCTTTTTATAACGATTTTTATTCTCACACCATTAAGAACTCAGTATTTACGTCTCTTTTAAGTTGCTTTTTTGTTTTATACTTGTATATTGAAATTTTTTCGGATATACTCGTACTAACAAGTATATGTTGCGTTTTTGACAGAAAATTCTTAAATTGTTGATTCAAAGATCAGGCAGAGTTTAGAGGTTAAATGTAGTTCATAGGTTTTTGTATATTAGAATTAAAGTGTGCTTTATTTTTCCATTCAAATATAGTACGATGTAGATTTCTACAACGGAGGCAACAGTGCACCGCGACCACGTATAAGGATCTATTGTGCGCCCCTACCCGAGTGCGGGGCATGCTCTACAACACACGCCCGAGACCCACCCTCCTGATGAACTCAAGCAACTTGTGAGGACCAGAAGACCGTAACTCCGCCACCGTTAGAGCAAAGCCTCCCAGCACCTCCCTTTCCTAAGAGCAAGAGCATCACAATCCCTCAGGAGGTGCACCGAGGTCTCTCCATACCCCCCACAGAATCTGCAAGTATCCTCATTTTCCAGGCCCAGCCCTAAGGTGTCCCCTAAGCCTGCAGTGACCTGTCAAATGCCGGTGAGGACTCTCACCTGGTTCTTGCCCATCCCTATAATTTTCTTAAATCGTTTCTGATCATAATCTCCCCGGAGCTCTTTGGCTTGCCGCAGCCCCGGAAGATTTCTCCAGCGCTCCGATCGCCTTCTTTCTGATTCCCTCCTTGATTCCCAACGAATAGTATGTGGTCCGATGCCGCAGAAAGGCTCCAGCCCAAGAAGAGGTGTGTTTGCCCCATTCCTTGCAAGCGCATCAGCGGCCTCATTTCCTTCCACGCCTACATTGCCCGGCACCCAACACAGTGTGACCCGGTTGCATCTGCCTAACTCATTGAGCTTCTCAAGACAGCCCCATACTGCTGCGGAGGATACTGCAAACGAATTCAGCGCTCCGATCGCAGCCCGGCTATCCGACATAATCATTATTTCTTGTCCCCGATACCCCCTTTCCAGGGGGAAACACTCGGAAAAGTTCCCATAGGTTCGGAGAATTTGGTTCTTAGTCCAAATACAACCGCACCCGTCCCAATACTGGTCTTTGACCCATCTGGGCGGCCCGAAAAGTCACGCTCCCAGTCCCTTCTGTTACTCAGCAACGAGGCAAAATTTTTCTCGAAGCTGTGCCTCCTTACCATGTCGTCGCGAGGCATCGATAGGAGCGGAACCTGCCCGACAAGATGACCCCGATCTCTCACACCGATTATTCCGACTCCATTTCTCCCCAACCTGATAATACGATGTAGTGTACAAATCAAATTTTAATCAAACTGAGCAATGTTTGTTATGTATACGCCTTGATTATAACCTATGACAGAGATAGAAATCAAACTTGTATAATACAAAATTTTGAGATACAAAAAATAAATCAAACTTGTTTGGTAATACTTGATACTTGTATGATTCGACTTTTTAAGTAACGTGAAACAATATACTTTACGACTCTAGAAGACATGTAATTTTTAGTTTTGCAGTTACAATTTGATTGCCCTTACAATTAAACAAGATATAGTACAAAGTATTTGCCGTAAAATATGCAATTTTTTTATTTAATTTCTTAGGCTAATTGAATTCGCGGAAAGTTAGTGCGATTTGGTTTCGATTATTTAGTAACGAGTAAGTAAATAACAAATTTTGGAAGACATAACAGTTAGTGAAGTTCAGTAAACTATAAATATTTTAAAATGAATTAACAATATTTGTTATATGCTGCTTTTTTGATTCCAATTGCAGTTTTTTTCAACTTTATCAACAGTGTTTATTAGCTTTTAACAAGAAATAGATGGACCAATTGAAAATCTCCAGGCAACATAACCAATATGCGCCGACTTACAGAAATCCAAATTTAGAACCTTAAGTAGAATCTTATTTTTCTTTAGAATAAACGCAAATTTTAATAGCAAACAAGTTGGTAATAAAATTTATTTTTGCCACGAGAATTGACGATTTTTCTATTTTAATAAATGACATTACAGAAAATAAGAATCGAATGACTAATTTGCTAAATTGATGAGACCGATAAAAACTAGTGCTTTTGTATACTTTATGATTCTATTTTTATGGTCTATTTTATTATATTAAAAGGCATTTCGGTAGGGGGAATAAATATGAAAAGAATGTAAAACGTTTACTGAATACAAAATTCAATTCTTCTATATAAACGTTTAATATCCTTGTAGATATATATTATATCCTTATCTGCATTTATAAAATAGAATATCTTAATGTACGTGAATATTCATAAGGAATCTTTAATAGAAAACAACGATGAAATTATAATCATTGGTTGTGTGATGGGATTTTGTTATAAAAATTTTGAAAATAGATGGATTGCGTATAAGAATTTTCAAGTTATAACAGAAGGATGAAAAATATTTAATATATTGGGACTAAAAACGAAATCAATTGTATTTGGGCAAAGACCTTTGTCATAAAAAAAAAATAATTTTTTTTTCTTCAAAAAGAATTTTTGACCTTTTACTTAAATTTCATGATGAGTTTTGTTATGACTGATCCGAGATTTCCAAAAAAAAAAACTTGTGAATATTGCATGATTTCAGTAGAATAACATGATAAGCGTGTAAAGGAGTAAAGCAGATAAGATGAAGAAAATATTTATTTTTATGGGATTTTTTATGAGCTCATACGCGTCTTTGTATATGCGTTTCCGTTAAATTAATATTTAGCATCAAAAAAGTATTATGGGAAAAGGGATTTCGTAAGACTAAAGATGAAATATTTTTGTAAAATACAAATTGGTTTAAATAAAATTCACGAAACATCCACGAATTTGAACTATTTTTCTAAGCCATAAAGTAATTATTTTATCCTTTTTACACCATTTTAAAAGTTTCCTAATAATTCTAAAGAAAATCACGAGTTTGAGCAACTGAATTTCTTCAACAGATAGGTGCATCTGTTTTAGGATTCCAATGTTTTTAGTTTTGTTTCTAGTTCCCTTTCCTTTGGTAGGTTAATTGACTGACCATTTAGTGTATGAACAATCATTAACAAGTCACTAAATTTATATTAATAAGTGCCTTTTTCAATGAAAATCAACTAATTTTTTTTATTCTCTTACAGAATCTACGTAAAAAACTTGAAGAAAACCATGCAGAAGGGACCTGCTTCTAAAATTACTTTGTCGTTTTCCAACTTATTTTATATAGGACCCAAAAAATTAACTTATCATCGTAATTACAATTAATTATCACAAATTTTTGTTGCAATTATTTCCTAATCAGAAAAAACAAAATCAACGAATTTCGGTTCCAGTTACGGTAATTTTCTTTTTTATATAAACTACGAATACAAAACATAATGAAAAAAAAATCTTCCTTTAATTGCTTCAATTAATTTAACAGGAAATCTTTTCAACTTCTCTCGTTTGTCGGCCTATGGAAAGCTGAATAAAGTTTTCCCTTCTATTTTGTACTAGGTTTTTGAGTATTCTGTTAATTGTGTTCATCCAAAAAATCTTTAAGAAGGTTATGGCTAAAAAAGTAAGCAAAATCCAGTAAAAAAATTATTTAAAAATATTCTTAGCTTCCTTTGATTGAAATTTTTATCGTATATGAGGTAGAGTATAGCGTATAGTGTGTATGTAGGTATATGCGACAGGTTTATTTATTTTCAATAACAAAATATAAAGGAAAACAACATGTTCAAGGTTTCTAATTGAACAATGATTTTAATTTGTTAATAGGCGACAAGAAAAAGAGTAAAAAAATCACCTTCACTTTTTTTCATTGATTTTCGTACCATGTTGTAATAGATGGCAAATATAGGATTCTTAGAAAAATTCATTAAGAATCTCGATTTTATAGGAAAATTATTTTTCTTGTATAGAATGTAGTTTAAGGTAGGAGTTTGCCTTTATATTTTAACACAAGTACCAATAAAATCCATTAATAAAAAAATGAAGCCTTTGATTAGGATGAATGAAAAACATTTTCATAATTATTTATAAAAAATGCTGTGATTCACTAATAAGTCACTACAAGATGATTGTTATAGAAAATTTTGTTATTAAGGAGTTCTAGTTAGAGAATTTTAAAATACCGTAATCACTAATTTATAAATATCGTAATATCGTATTCTTATAATACCTTTAATAATTTATGAAAACAACACTGAAAACCTCAATATTTATAAATTAAATGTAAGTCCATCGCGTTATTTAACAAATATGGAGACCTTGGCAAGAATATTCTTCCTACTATTTTAACTAAATTTTAAAAATTAAGTAGGAAAATTACACAACAAAGATTTTATTAACCCCGAGAACAAAACCGTATATACAAAATAATTTTGTTTTCGAACCTTTAAATTGAAATTTATATATAGTGTAGACACAAACCAGAAAATTTTATGTTCTAAAACCAAAAATTTTTTAAAAAAGCTTCTTAATTTAATTTATCCAGAAAGTTTATTATAATATCTATGCTTCCCACTTGTAGCTTTTATTTTTCTAAGTTTCAAACCATCGGTGGGAGTATTTGTTAAAAAGCTTTGTAATATTAAATTTAAAAAATTACAGCAACAGTACCAACCGAAAAGCATGTGAAAAAAAAACGGAAACACAAGTTAAATGTACTTACTTGCATGTCTTGTTCCAATTTCACTTTGTAAATCTTCTGTTAAATTTTTTGTTCCGGAATCTAAATCAAATGGAGAATATGTAACATTTAAATGTTTGTAGACTTCAACTAATGTTTTCATCATTAACTGACATGTATGTAAGCCGGCAACATTTCTTTGACCATCTCGTTTATATAACAGCAATGTATGATTCCAGCTGTAACTGTTATGTTAAAAAAATAAAAAGTTCAAATGAGTAAATTTTGTTCGTACGGAACACACTTTATTTAACGTAATTGTTAATTCATACTATGAGAAAGGAGGGAAATATTAAAGAATTAGCCGATATTAATGTCAAATAGTTATGGTAAAAAATGGGAGCTGTACAGTTTTGTCTAAGAAAAAAGAAAATTGTTGTAAGGCACGGGTTTTTTTTCAATCATGGAGTCAATAGATTGTAAGAATAACTTCAAACGGGTTCTGGTCGCCCCTTGTAACAATATACGATCAACGATTGGGTTTGTAATTGATTATCATTAAGAAGTAGGAGTTTTCCTAATGGTAGCAAATAAATATAAAGTGAAAAATTTTATAATATTCACAAAAAATACTTACTTTTTCATAATGGAAACTATCAATTCCGATATTGATTGAAAACTTACAATTCCAGTTCTAATAAGCATATAAAATTCATCCTTGCAACTTGTTTTTTTCTCTTGAAAATCATATGTAAATCCGCCCACTGATAGTATTGGTGTTCCTTCTGAATGGAAATACTTTGCTACTCGACCAACGGATGCTGCATTGAAAAAGTGGATTTTTAATTACAAAATTAATTTATTAATGAAATAAACAAAGTAATATAAAAGGTGATTATTAATTAGTTTTTATAGGTGATTTGTCATAAAAAAAATCTCTTTTCAAAGGTGGGTTTATCAAAGGTTTTTGTGTTTTTAATTAAGAAATTATGATCAGACCAACAGAATTTCGTAATTTTATTTTTAACAAATGAGTCATCATCATAAATTTAATTAATTATTAAAAACTAAAGACGTAAAAAATTTATTTGTTTTTCGTCCTTTTGGAAAAAAAAGATAAAAAGTTTGGACTAATTGCTAAGTTTTTATTTGAATGCTTGTCGCCAACTTGGGAACTAAGATGCTATTGTATTAAAATGAATTGATTGAAGCACATTGTTTTATCGAAAGATAATTTGAACACAATTTTTAACAAGAAAATTTATTATAATGCAGGCTTTAAATAAGTAATATTTTACAACTTTTGTTTCTTAAAAATTCAAGCATCAAATTTGTGAATTTGGAATATGCTCCCAAGACAAAATATGCATATTAATTCAAAGTGGTTGGTAACTTTTATAATCGTGGATGGAAGTGGTTTGGCCAAGAACCAAATTATTCGAACTGCACGTGTTTTAGGCCAAGGTGCACTTCATTGAATTCAGCGTTGAAAGAAGGTATCGCGGACAGGAAATAATGTTTAGGTCGGATAGCAGGGTTGCCCTCGGAGAATTGAATTTATTTTGTTGAATTAAAAAAGGAATCAGCTAGAAGGCGGCCGTCTTTCATAATACAAAATTGTTGATAACTTAAAGAATATAGAGCTAAAGATTTTTAATATAATTTGGAACAACTAGAACTAACAAATTTATTTGTAAAAATTGTAGTGAAATTTCTTACCCAATGGATAATCACATGCTGGACCAAAAATAACGTGAGAACAATTTTTTGCAATACCATCCATTGCACCGATTAATGCATAACCAGCATCACATTTATCATCTCTTAAAATCCATGAAAATTTAATTTGTGGTGGTAACAATTTTAATGATTTAACACGTTCTTCAGCAATTTTTAAAATAGGGTGTATCTTAGTTAATGACGCCTCATAGAATGTACTATTTGGTGCTAAAACTAATGCTGTTAAAGTACAATTAGCATTTGGATCTGTATATGGATTTGATGTACAAATTGATTCACAATCTTCTGGGGGCTCTCCACGACAACCAGCATCACATCGATCGCTTATAGTTAAAATGAATAAGAGCATAAATAATGTTTTGATGAAAGAGAAATTTTTCAAAATACTCAATATTTTCAATATTATTGTTGTAAAACTTGATCCTGATGACCTCTGTAGACATATTGATGATTTTCGATTATTTTTCGCTGTTTTCTTTGATATAATCATTAACTGTTCTTGCGTTATTGATGATGATTTATTTGATAATAATAATAAAAATGGAATTGTTTTAATAATAATTATTTGAAATATTTTATTAATCGTAAATCTTCTTTCAAGGATATTAATTTTAACATTACTCTTATTACCATCATTATTAACATTTCTTTTGTTACAACACTTATTGTTATTATTTTTACTACTAGGATTCTTATGCGTTAGAATTCCTTGAAGTGATGGCGATGATAGTGTTATTTTTCTTAGTTGATATAAAATTGATTTTGTAATAGTTGAAAGATGATGGTTTTCGAAGAATTGCTGACATGTAATTTTCATTGCTGCCGTAACAAGAAAATCAAATCAATTAATGAAATGAATGAATTTTCACTGTTATTGATGCTTTTTTTGGTTGTTGCTCTCTTACTCTCTTTTAATTTTGATTTTAAATTTTTCTTGACCAGATTTTCAATTCTTATGATTTTTTAGAATTTTTGGAAATCATTTTTGTTCATTTTTCCTTTCTTTTTGTTTCACTTAAGTTTTTCCTGAAGTTGACATATGCATACAAAACATTTGTATTTATACTTTCGCAAAGAGAAGAATCACAGATTTGTTGAAGAGAGAAGTGTCTAGGTGGCGTTAATTTTGTGTATACAAGCACAAGTTTATTATTGTTACTTCAATTATTACATTCAAAGAAATTTTGGTTTGTTGATGCTGACTTGACAAATTGTTCTGTTTGAAAAAAGAAAGAACAAAAAGAATAAAAAATCAAAAGTCCATCATGTATGAAAAAAAAATGGAAGAAATGATGAAAATTTACTGTCGTGTTCTTGTTACAGTTTGTTGGTTTCTTTTGCGTTTTTGAGTTGTTAATTGAAGGAAAATAATTCAAAATGAAAACGGAAATTACTTTTAGGCTTATGTAGCATTACAACAGACCATTGTAACATATTATGTAAGGGAATGTATGCATGTATACGTGTGTAAGTAAATTTATATAAATTTTGATCTTATGCTCTTTTTCAGTATCTTTTATAATGAAGAACAAGTGAAAAGGAAATAGAAAATTTTTGTATCAGCATAAATATGAAAAATTGCACATTCGAACCCGTTTCTAACCTTGTCAGAATAGTTGCTCGAAAATGAATTAGAAGCTTAATATCAAATTTATTAAAAAAGACTACAGTTCGTATAACTAGTTCATTTTGTTCTGGGAATTCGACATCTCAGTCCAAAAGAGAGCGTTTGCAAAATTCAAGAGTGGAAATATTTTCAGCGCGTTCAGTTCTTACGTTCTTTATAATCTTCAACCTACTTCTTGGATGAAGCGCAGCATAAAGCTATATTTATATTATTTATAAAGCTATATAATCGAGCCAATTTATAAGCTCTACTTTGCTGACAGTCATACTGTTATTCTACTGTGATTTTGTTTTTAAATTTCATGTATTCTCCTAGGGTTTATTATGAATAGGATAAAATATCAAAAAAAATAATAAATATTTTTTTTATTTCGATATTTTATGATGCAATCGAACTTGTATTAAATTTATGTGTATGACATACATGCATACACATACATATAGGTTCTCATATTTATCACATAATATTTCTGAGAATAAGAAAAAATTGAAGAATGAAAAAAATTTAATTTGGAGTGAAATTGTGATTATGAAAATTTAAATTTTTCATGCATGCAAGAGGATTGAAAGTCCATTTGATTTTGAAATTTAAACAATAAATTGAAAATTTATTGTTTAAAAAATATTGTAATTGATTTGTGATTGAGATGAGGCGTTCATTTATGGATAAATGAATTTTGTGAAGAAGTTCAAGGTTTTTAAAATACTGAAGTTATACAATTGGTTTTTAATTTTCTTAGGATGCTAAAACATTGTCAACATCGGCATACAGCTTAATAAAGGAAAAACATGAAACCGTTATCGAGAAAGTTTTAGATGAAAAATTGAAGCCGGCCTTATTGGGTAAGCCGGCCTTATTCATACCGCATTCAGTTGTTGTTGAGACCAACATAGTTGTAGATTTGTAGATTTGTAATAACGGGGGCAACAGTGCACCACGACCACGTATAAGGATTTATTGTGCGCCGCCCTCCCTATCTATTGTGGGGCATGCCCTATAACACGTGCTTGAGACCCACCCTCCTGATGAGCTTAAGCAACTTGTGGGGACTGAAAAACCGTAACTCCGCCGCCGTTAGAGCAAAGCCCCCCAGCACCTCCCCCCTCCTAGAAGCAAGAGCATCACACTCCCCCAGGAGGTGCACCGAGGTCCCCACATACTCTCCACAGAATCTGCAAGTATCCCCATTCTCCAGGCCCAGCCGACTGAGGTGTCCCCTAAGCCTGCAGTGACCCGTCAAAATGCCGGCGAGGATTCTCACCTGATTCTTGCCCATCCCTATAATTTTCTTAAATCGTTTCTGGTCTCCCAGAATAATCTCCCAGATAATCTCCCAGAAGATCATTGGCTTGCCGCAGCCTCGGAAGACTTCTTCAGCGCTCCGACCGCCTTCTTTCTGATTCCTTCCTTAACTCCCAACGAATAGTATGTGGTCCGACTCCGCAGACGGGTTCCGGACCAAGAAGAAGTGTATTTGCCCCCTTCCTTCCAAGCGCATCAGCGGCTTCATTTCCTTCCACACCCAACACAGTGTGTTCGGTTGCGCCTGCCTAATTCATTGAGCTTCTCAAGACTCCCTCATTCTGCCGCGGAGAATACTGAAAACGAGTTCACCGCTCCGATCGCAGCCCGGCTATCTGAAATAATCATTATCTCCTGTCCCCAAAACCCCCTTTCCGGGCGGAGCCGCACGCACATTTCAATGATGTGCAACTCGGCCCGAAACACACTCGGAAAAGTTCCCATAGGTTCGGAGGATTTGGCTCTTGGCCCAAGCACCCCTTTACCTGCCCCCAGGCTGGATTTTGACCCATCTGCGTACCATCTGATAACGTGTGTTCCCACTGGGTGACCTGAAATTTCCCAAAATATAGAAACATAGTTAATTATGTGTTAACGAAAGCCGTATCAGACATTTAAAAAACATCTTCATCCTGCTTGGTAATCTATGTACCTTCATCCTACTATCAAAAAGCGCTTGCCAAATATTAACTATTTTGTTACCAGTAAGCATATTTACTTTGATTCGATACAAATAGCGATTGTACAATTGAGTTGAGCATAATTCTTCGATTAAAACTGCCTAGTGGACTTAACAGGCCATAAGAATCCCGATATAATATTACGTAATTCACTACATGAGCAGAATTTATCAATAATTGTTTTCGCATCATGCCGCTATTCCCTTATTCATGAATAATAGATGATAAAGACGAAGAGAAGTGTAAGTTTCGGCTCAACAATAGTTCTCTTTATAAGTCTAGATCCATGTATTTTGGTTTCATTTACTTTTTTGAACTAAAAACGTTACGTTTTAGGTACCTAATAACCTACCAAAACTTTGCAAAACTATTAAGGAGTTAATAATGCGATCGATTATGTAACGTTCACGTCAAATTTTCTTGTTTACTTTCATATTATTCAATTGATTCTTAGTTATCTTATAAATATTAATTTTCTTGTGTTCTTGTTTTTTTTATAAAAATAGAATTTAAAATGGTTTTTTTTTTAGCTCAGTCCATGTAATTTGAATAAATTTTTTACAATCTTTTGTAATATTTTATGATTTTATCGCGGCCCAGTATTACATTGTAAATAACATCAATTCTTTTATTTTAAATTCTAATTTTTGTTTTTTTGTTAAATATTAAATAGCTAAGCATATTTTAATAATTTCATTATTCAAAACAGTTTTTTTGCCACCCTATTTTTGATGTTTACTTGTTATGTCAAGCGATTCGTTTCTGTAATAATTAATATTCCGCCTCAATAAGAAAAATAAAAAGAATTAGGAAAAATAGAAAAAATTCAAAAATGAAATTCAATATTTTCATTTTTTGGAAGACCATGCCGAAGATTGATTTGTTAAAGTTAAAAAATAGAAAATTGACATTTTGATTAATTCATGATTAATGCTTTGTAGGTCGTTTTTATACCAATGATTATAAGTTTTTCCAATGATTATAAAGTATGATAATGGGAGGAGGGTGTGATGGGACAAATTAATTTTGTTCATTTTCGGTAATTAATTTTTAACAGTCATATGAAATAAGGACAATGATGTCATTAATTTTCAATAAATTGTCAACCAACAAAATAAATATTTTATAGCTTAATAAATATTTTTAGGTTTCAATAACGTATTATAAATCATTTTTAAATTTATGAGGTCACAACATGCACTATTGAATGTAACACTAAACAAAAATGTAACAAGTTAATTATTTGATGTCCTTAAATCAATTTTATGTTTTGTATTAGAAAAATTGCGTACATTTTCTGGAAACAATTCTTTCACACATTATAAGATCGAGGTGTTTATGTCACTTATCTTGAATGACATGGATTTTTACAGAATGACATGGCAAGCAATTAACATAAGGTTTTCTACTTAAATATTTTCAGAAGTTGATTATTCAAATTTCGAAGTCTCAAATTAAGCTAGCTTTAAGCTATATACATAAAACCGGATGAAGTCTCATAATTCTCCTTATAAATTGCAGAAGTTTTCAAAACATTCCCGTCAAAACGTTTCGTGGCATCTCCCTTATTGAAAAATAACTAATATAAAATAAGGGCTTCAATTTTATTTGCCACATGACGCCTTCTATTTTTAGAATTTTTTATATGAAAACTTCCTTTGTTATTTTTTGGTCTTTGCTCTCTAAAAATTTTATTTTTTTTTTATTTCATTTTCATTTTTAAGAAAACAAAATCCAAACAAAAACCTCTTTTATAAAATATAAAATACAAAACAAAGCTCTTTCATGCCTTTAATGATTTAAAACGAAAAAAAATTTAATAAGAAAAAAGAACCAGTCCTACAAAAAATATTTGATTTCGGGTAAAATATCGATTCTCTGCCTGTGATTTATAATTTATCCTTAAAAATGTTTAAGCAAAGTATGTTTCCTTTTTGCTTTTAATGTACAAAGATTTGATCTACTTTGATTTTTCATTTCTCAGAAAAAGTGCGAATTGCTCAAATTTGATACAAAAATATTTGCAATTGAATCATTTTAGATCTTTAAATAAAATTCATGAGGACTTTAAGTTTAAATAAACTGTAAGAGAAATGAAAATGTTTAAAAACAAAAATATTTTGCATAAAATTACTACTATAAAATTGCATCTAGCATTAAAAAAGTGATTAAGCAGAAAGTAGATTATTAATCCGTAAAAGTGAGGATGCCAATTGCGATCGCAATAAGTGATAAGATCGCACGTGAAAGTGTTCTTAATAAATTTATGAAACGGACTTAAAAATTTAATGTAAAAGTACAAAAAATATATAGGAAAAACTGGAATTTTCTGATAATAATTTAATTTTAAAGACTGTGTTCTCTTCTACAGAATTAACGTAAAAAAAATAAACAAATTAATCATTTTTCTAGAGAAAAAACTCATTCCATTGAAAAGCTTTAATGAAAATTACTTAAATTTGTTATTCATTTTTAGTTCAATGCCACAAGAAATGGCACTTTAAAAAAGAAAAACAGAAATAAGTCAAGAAAAATCAATAAAATTTAAAATTTTCTTGTAAAACGAATATTGAAATTTTCCACAAATTTTATTATGTTTCAATTTGA